GTTAGGATGGTATTATGCTAGTTTGTAGCTGATTAGTAGATCTGCATGATTATCTGTATGTGTTGGTTTTGTGTTATGTTTACATGTTACATACGTCGACATATTGTGTTGGGTTGAGGTTGTAATGCTTTGTGCGGCAGCCAATAAACCTGGAGCAATCCAGACCTATGCTGCGGACCTTGTAGGGGTATTCCAGACATAGGTTGTGGGCTCGGGAGCAATCCAGATATGAGCTGAGGGCCCGAATGGCATGCCCGACTCATATTGTGGGCTCGGGGGTAATCCAGACCTATGTTGAGAACCTTTGTAGGGGTATTTCAGACATAGGCTGTGGACCCATTATATGTTGTTATATGTATGTGTGTGATTGGTACTTTGGGGAACTCACTAAGCTTTCGCTTAAAGTTTTAGTTTATGGTTTCAGGTACTTCGGAGGATCGTGGGAAGGCGAATGCGTGATCGTACACAACTTCTTGTTTTATGTCACCGGGTCTTGGGAAAACTCTAATTTGAAATAATGTTTTTGAAACAATGACTCTTTTGTAAACAATTTTGATTAATGGTTGATTTTTGAAAATTTTAAATTTATTGTATTTTTGGAGTGTTACATAGTAGTCAACTAAAAAGTCATTGATCCTTTGCAACAAAACCTCTGCTCCACGTCTACCTTCATGGTATTCACCAATCCATCCTATCAATAACCATACGAAGATGATCTACACATCTTCAAGAATTGAATCAATGTATATATATATCAGTTTGTAGAAAATACATGCTTTTCATTCCTGTTGTCTCATCCTCGTCCCCTGAGGAAATTTCATAAACTCCATCTTCAGTGTCATCGGTTTTTATTTGTGAGATACTTTTTGACTTACCTATAAGAAAGCAAGATAAAGTCATATTCATATAGTAGATCAAAATATGCGGACAAGTATATAATTAAATGGGCAAATTGCATGGAATTACAATTTACTCTACTCTTACTGCCCATACAAACGATAACATACTTTAGTTTTATCCATCATAGCAATCTACTTACCTTTCTTTCACAATCATAACAATGTACTTTACTTTTACCTATAATAGCATCCTACTCGCATTTTGCTACCAATATAATATGAGCAGTGTGTTTAGTTTGTTACATATTATTGCTGCTATTGTATAGTGTGTAAAGAAAATCTAAATTTGTTACTATTATGCTATCATCGGTAAAAAAAAACATAAGTGTTACTGTGTTGCGATAATAGGTGAAAGATAAAGCACATTACATATACTGATAGATAAAAAAAAGGACATTGCAATTTTCTGCAATAAATTATTCAAGATAGAAAATGAAAGAAACAACATTATAGAATCATGTATGAGAGTTCATATCATACCAATTTGTTGGTTAGAATTGGCTCCAACTTCATTAGAGTGCAAAAGATGTTCAACGACACCATCTTCTTTTCCTTTTTTTTATTTTTTTTCTTTTGTTCTTTTTCTTGTCACTGGTTTTAACATCATCTGGAGTAGTGGGGACAACAACTTCAGTCATCTCAATGCTTTTTTTTTGTTTCTTGCATCTTTTGTCATCTTCTTTGGAGAATTTGCACCTTCCAGATTATCTGCCAAGACTTAAAGGCATATTATATTATGTAATGTAGCCATACAAATGAAACAATGCCTTGATGGGGAAAAAAAGAAACATGACCTTATTAAATTAGTCAAAGCTTGCGAGTGCATACCATTTTGTTGGTTGGCATCATCTTCACCTACATTATCATGTGGAACGCCTTCATGATCACCTCCCTCACTATTTTCTTGATTTCTTTTCTTTTTCTTCAATTTTTTCTTTTTGTCACTCATTACAACAATGTTTTTACCCTTGGTAACATGACTAGTGGAAATAACTAATTCCGACAGCTCTCCGTCTCTTTTTTTCTTGTTCCTTGAAACTATTTTTATTTTCTTGTCAGAATTTTGCACCTTAGTGAATGAAGTTGTGTTCCTTCGTCTTTTGTTCCTCCTCATGCACGAACTCCCTGTTCCTTCACCGTGCACACGCCATCATCTGAAAAGTGAAAAACACAAAATTGATAAAATCAATTAATTAGAAATTTTAACATGTCATCAACCATCATAGTTGATTGAAAACCTAGCAGAAGGATTTTTTTTACAGCTCTCTCGAAGTCTCTTTTCAAGAGAAAAATAAATCAGAACAATATTAACAAATGATATGATGCAACTTGCAACATTGTTAGGTTCAGTGAACTCAAAATCCCAACAGCCACTCGAAGCATTTCTGTAAAAATAAAATCATATCTGTAAACCCTATAAAATATAATTCATTTGAAATAAGAAATATATCAAACTCAATAAACCTGCGCATCGATCAAATTGCAGGAAATCAGACTAAGGCAAAATGAGAGATGAAAGCAGGTAATCAACTATGTGATTTGAATCGATTAGACAAAAGTAAAACCCTAAAACTGAAAACCCAATTGAGTTTGTTACCTGGACTAAGAGTCAGTTGTTTGTTATAACTTAAAATTGATTAAACAAAACTTGCAATAGAAAAAGCAACATCGATGCAATTCGATACAGTCTTCATCAACATCAGAGTTCATCTTATGAGTTAATCTTATTCAACTGCCTTAAGTCTCCATTAATATTCTTCATTGATGATATTTTAGGGCTTTGCCCCAAACTTTGAGAGAAAAAGGTGGAGAAGATGGAATCAAATTTCAAATATGTTACATGTAAGATGAGTAACGATATTTTCATTTATCTGTAAGATGAGAAGATGGAATCAAATTTGAAATATTCTTCTCCATTATACTTCTGTCGCTAGGTTTTTGCAAATATGTTACCCGTAAGATCTTTGAATTGAATCGATCAATATAGAGTTCCTCGACAGAGAAGGCATGTTGGTATCATGTTGCAATGATGAAGCCGAATTAAGGTTAAAGTTTTTGTGATTTTAGGTTTCAAATGGAATCTGAGTTTGGAAACTTTGAATATCATTAAGGAGACATGTAATTGTTGTTAAAGAAAAAGTGTTCTTTTTATTTGGTCAAGATGATATCATAAAATTGATCCAAAGGTGAAAATTTATTAACGAAAACCAATGAGTCTGATTGTTGAAAGTGATGTAATAAGGTTTCTTTTTAATATATATATATATATATATATATATATATATATATATATATATATATATATATATATATATATAAAGATGAGTTTTTTATTTTAATCTTTTTCAGTTTTGTTTCAATGTTGCTTAATATTTTTTTGATCACATTATTTTTGTTGTAGTCCGATAGTATAAAAAGGGGCATTATTATCTTGTTTCGTAAGTATTAAATAACTATATATGTAATTGCATACCCTTAAACTTTTACATAGAAGTAATATTTTTGTAAAAGAAAAAAACATTATATATCAAATATTAGTATTCCATACCCATTAATCTAGTATTTGCATATCCTTTGTCCAAATATTTAGGTTAAACTCAACACTGCATCTAACAAAAAAGTAAAACTATTTTTTTTTTTTTGATAGTGTAATAAGCATGATTGCTAACAAAAACGAATCTTCAAAACTACCCTAGAGTAGCAACTAAAAATAATAAGAATAATTCAAGATAACTAAAATGCCTAAAAATGAAATTGTCAATCAACCAATATTTTCACGTAAAACATGATCAACATCCCAATGGAACCTAGTCAACTTGACTGTAAAATATGAAAATTAACAAGTTAAAATTTAAAGCATCTTCAATCAACTAACATCTGTCACTTTATTCCAGTCAGCTTCACATTTGATGGAACAATAAAACCTTTAGCTTGCATACAAGAAATAACCTAACAACCAAAGTAATAGTAAAACATTAAGAACATTGATAGGATAATAGGATACTTAAACCAATTTATAGTTATCACAAGATACAGCAAAAGACATTTTACCTTTGAACAATGAATCCCAATTTCAAGTTCCTTGACATGGCCAAGATTTAGTAAAAATTTCTTAAACATCTCTTGTTCTGCTTCATTAGGCATTGTAAAACCATTCATGCCATTTGTACAAATCCAATTAAAGTTCGCTTTCACTAAAGAAGTCACATTTACCAACAATGCTCCTAATATTTTACCTTGGATTGTTAGTGATAAAATATTAGGAGCAATGATTTCAATGACATCGGCTTTAGATCCCGATGACAACACCAAGTTTTTAACACTCTTTGATGTAATATCAAGACGCTTATAACCATTGCAATTATCCAACACCAAAGTTTCCAAAACAGGACTCCCTGATAATATATTTTCAATCAAATCTTCATCTAATCTCCCAAAAATTATACACAACCTCCTAAGATTTTTCCAACTAATCGCCCCAATTGGATTAATTATGTACCCAACTAATTTCAAATCAGTTAAACATGAACTAGTGAAAAGAATTTGTATCAAAAGTCCATGTGGTTTTCAATATCTATCATAGTTAGTTCTTCACCTACCTAAAAAGACTTATTTGCCCTTTTTAATATATTTTTGATTTTCTTTATTAGGAGAAAGAAAATAAATAAAAACTCCAATGGAACCTCGATTGGTCCCAATTTTGACCAAGCCTCTAGGCCTCGAAAAGAGTTGAAAGTGGCAACTGAGATGGTGATTCAATATTTTAACAACAAAACCAATCAGACTTTAGTTTTATATCTTCAAAACTCAAGAAACACGCCTGTATTGCAGGTGAAAATTGAAATATTTTTTGAAAACTACACATTTTCTTTCTGAAATATTAGTGATAAATATATAAAGAAGTTTGATTTGGTTGTTTATCATCTCTCATCTCTCTCATGCATTTCGTCAAACAGGTTCCCAGCTAACCCATATCTTACCACACACATCTGGTTCATAAATGTTAAATTTCAAAATCTTAGGCAATTTACAGATAAGATTTCAAGATCAAGAGTCGTCAATAAGTAGCAGGGATGGGTTCTGGAGTCAACTTTAATTGGAGGAACAACTAATTATAATACCAATAATTCACTATAACAAAAATGCCTGAAACTGACGATTACTATTTTCGCATACAACATGATCCACAAGCAAATGCAACCAAGTCAACTTTAAAAAAAAAATACGAAAATAATTAATTTAAAGCATCTTCAATAAACCAACTTCCGTCACTCTATTCCAGTCAGCTTCACATTTGATGGAACAACAAATCCTTTAGCTTGCAAACAAGAAATAACCTACCAACCAAAGTAATAAAATATTAGGATTTAGGACCATTGATACACGATACTTAAAACAAGTTAGCTTATCACAAGATATTAAAAGAAATTTTACCTTTGAACAATCAAACCCAATTTCAAGCTCCTTGACATGGCCAAGTTTTAGTATAAATTCCTTAAACATCTCTTGTTCTGCTTCATTAGGCATTGTAAAACCATTCATGCCATTTGTACAAATCCAATTTAAGTTCGCTTTCACTAAAGAAGACACATTTACCAATAAAAACCTCGACAACAAAAGTTCACCTCTGATTGTTAGTGATAAAATATTAGGAGCATTCATTTCAATGATATTGAATTTAAATCCAGATAACACCAAGCTTTTAACACGTTTTGAAGTAATATCAAGCCGCTTATAACCATAACAACTATGCAACACCAAACTTTCCAAAACAGGACTCCCACATAATATATTTTCAATCAAATCTTCATCTAAATTCCTAATAATTATGCACAAGCTCTTAAGATTTTTCCAACTAACTGCCCCAATTGGATTAATCATGCACCCATATAATCTCAACTCAGTTAAACATGAGCTGGTGAAAAGAATTTGATCTAACATAAAATCATCTCCCCATTCAGTTTTCCACAAATCCAACTTAAGCACTTCAACGTTGCATCTTATAGCATAACGAATCCAACTGCTGAGTGGCGATTGAAATTGAATATCAAAACTGCTATGCACTTTGAATTTCTTGAGCTTTAATTGGGGGCATTGAGTTAGTGATGAAATATTAGGAGCATTGATCTCATTTGAAGTAATATTGAGCCTCCCCTTTCTATGACCATTGCAATGTTTGAACACCAAAGTTTCCAGAAGAGGACTCCCTGATACTATATTTAAGAACAAGCCATCATCTAAATTGACATAGGAAAGATCCAAACTCCTAAGATTTTTCCAACTAATCGCACGGATGGATTCAATATACAGCATAATAATCTCAGATCAGTAAAACATGAATTGATGAAAAAAGGTTGATCGAACAGAAACTTCCGTTCCCATCCCTGAAACCCCAATTTAAACTCTTTTAACGTTACATTGTATAGCATAACGGATACAATTCTTGTAAAGAGATTCAAATTGAATATCATAAATGGTATGCAGTTCGAATTTCTTGAGCTTCAATTGGCGACATTGAGTTAGGGTTTTGTCCACCAATAAATTGAATTTAAGGGATAATCTAAATATGAAAAACTGAGAGTAGGTATGGAGGTCCAAAGATGTTTCCAACGCTTGGAGAGTGTACCTGTTTTAATGGCGTCTTTTGTGGAGGGTAAACGAGAGAGGATTTCCTGAAGCAAGCAATCAGGCAACGCGCTGATTGCATCCTCTTCCACCTTCTCCACCACTACTTCTTGAAACTTAATCCGATTCTGGGCCATTTTAATTTGACGTTCTCCTTCTTCCAACATTTTAATCGCGGCAACAGAGGCACAGTGCCCTCGCTGCTTCCCTCCACGAAAACCTACAAAAACTCAATTGCCGTCAAATGTAAAAATCTCATGTTTTGTTTTAGCCCCTAAATATTGAAAATATACAATTCAGTCTATATACTTCGTATTCTTTAGCCAAATGTGGAAAATATAATTAAGTAATGAGTTAAACAATAAGAAACCATGCCCCATATAGATATTTAATCTTTTTTATATACGATTCAACATTAAAAAGATAACAAATGTTCAAGAAACACCATATTGACCAGTAATAGCCGATCATAGTTTATTTTTGGGTGTTAATGACGATATAAGTAAGAAGACTATGTTCAATATACACGTTAGGTCTCTTTCTATTTCTTTTATACATAAATTACCATTAATAAGACGAATTGTATCTAAAAATATCTTTGTAACATTGTATCATAATTTTAATGTTATGTTAAAAAAACATCTATTTTGCACACTATGTATCCGTAAAAGAAAAATAGTATGATATACTAACATAAAAAAAGTAGATTTTATGAAAAAAGGAAAAAACAAACATGTTACTCTTTTCTAAATCTCATATTAATATTATTTTATTGATTAGAAATATCAAAGTCGTAAAAATAATTTAAAAAATCAAGAAAATCCTAAATTATTGTATTTTTACATTTAGGATCATTCTTGTCATTAACTCTTTGTCAAAACAATTAGTTAAGTTTAAATTCATCGAACTCCTTGAATTAAGAAATTATTTTTTATAACTTTATTTTATTCATTTTTCTATTTTACAATATTTTTGTCTTTAAGTCTTCAAAAATGTATCAAATGTCCCCAATTAGAATCCCAATTTAAACTTTAATTTAGTGAACATTCAAATTAGTTTTGTCAAGCTTTTATATGTTTTTATCTTCAAACTTGTTCTACAATATACTTTTTGCCTGAGCTTGATGTTCAAATTATATTTTTAATAGTTAGATGAGGTTATGTAGTTGATAAGATGTATTTGATAGTAAAATAAGTCCAAATGATCTAATTTGAGGATGAATATATTAAATAGCTAGTATGGATGCTTCCTCATTCCTAATCAATGCAATCAATCACTAATTTTCTCTCTTCCTTCTCTCTAGAAACTCCACCCTCTCTCTAAAAATCAGCCTTTATATCCACAAAATTATTGGTTTTTTTTAGTTTTTTTGAATCTGCATAACTAGCCAAGGTAAAAAGCATACATCTCTTGATGATCCATAACATTTTTTACAAGTGTTCATGCCATTTTCATCTTCTATTTTCGGATTTTTGGATTTTTTTTCTTGCTAGAATCCACTTCTTTATCTTGATGTTTGTAGATCACCACCAACACATGTTGCATGTTATGGAAATTGTGGCGATCCATGATCAAACCAAAGTCATGAAGAAAGGTGAGCACATGCAAGCCTTATTTCGCATTAAAAACAATTCTTCAAAAGATTTTTTCAACAAAATAGGTCTAGTATAAGGTTTTTTTTTTACCTCAAGCTAATTAAAAGAAACGAAATGTTTGGATAAAATAGAAGTGTGAACCACATTTCTTTGATTTTCAGCATTCTCGTAGATTTCAACCTCTGACGAACAGACATTGAACAGTCATATCTCCTTCAATTTTTAACCAGAAATTTTGATCTTTCTTCTGAAATTTATTTTATTGAGTTAGCTTTGAAACTCAACTTGTTTCACTCAAAACGACTGAGTTTTCGACCTCCAAACATTGCTCACAAAACTGTTGCACCAATAACTTTTTTTTTGTGGTTAAGAGTCCTGTGATGCTTATTCAAAGAACTTTTTGATCTTTAAAAATCTTGGCAATTATGTTAAAATATTCCAAACATAACTCAGTGGGATAAAAAATCTTGATTTAAAAGACTTTGAAAGAGTTTATAACAATTGTCAAAGTATCAACATTTTACAACATGAAATAATGAAAGCAATATTTTTTCACAAACTCATGAAACTTTAATGCATCTACACTGAACTTGCCACAAGATTAATCATGTGGGAGTAAATAGCAAACCATTAACAATATTTTTAGGCTCACCTTAGAACTTTGAAAAATAAGTAACATTTTATTAATTCATTACAGTACTTTTTTGATATATTAGTAAGTCTCACTCAACAAAACTAATCTTATTATACATTTTTTTTATGAAAGTTTTTATATATATAATATTAAATTGTAATATAAATTTTCTTAGTAGTTGTTTAGAATTTTTAAATCAAACTTATTTTTATTATTTTATAAAGGTGGATAATATTCAACTTACATAATTTTATGTAGGGGTGAGCGTATTGACCAAAAAACCAAACCAAAACAAAACCGAAATAACCAAACCATTTTAATTGAACCATTACAAAAAATGGTGACGCGGTTTCTATTTTTTGATTAACCAAATATATAAGGTTCGGTTACGACCTTTATCAAAAAACGAACCACTAAAAGCCAAACCGGACCAATAATATTACAAAGTGTTTTTAATATAATATAATATTAAATATACGGTATGTATTTATATTTTGGAATCGAAAATTTAAAGGGTAATTAGTTGGAGTTAAATGTGATACCTAATCTTCTATCATATTAATAAGGTTATAAACACTGAATCGTTCACTTTTTATAACAATATACTTTATGTTTTTCCGTTTTGATAGCAAGGTAGTTTTTATTTTTATCTCATTTTTTACCATAATCATTAACCAATATTAACCATTAACCATAACCACAACCATTAACCGACAAAATCCGTTTACCAAAACCAATATTAAGCAATACCCAATAGTTACCAAAATGCATTAACTACTTATAATGGTTATGGTTCAGTTTTAGATAAAAACCAAACCAAACCGCCTCATACACACCTCTAATTTTACAAATGTAAAGGTTCTTGAGAACTAAATTGTAAAACCGATCCAACCAAACTATAATTTGGTTGGCTTGGATCAGATTTGCACCTAGTTTTGGATTATTCAGAACCTGAAAACCAATATCAATTTGGATTCAATTGTTTGGATCGGAAAGAATTGATCCAATTTGGAATCACTTGATCAAATAAGATCAAATCGAACTGATCCTTCCAAACAAACATTCATAATTAAAGTGACATATTATGTTCAAAGAACACCATTGTACGTTGAGATGGCAATGGTTCGAGTTGGGTCATTTTTGGGTTGACGTCTTTGATTAAACGAGTTTATAATCTCAACCCAATCAAACTTGTTTAAATAAATGTTTGAGAATTTTCAACCCAAAGCCACATAATTAATTAATAGGGTAAAATATCGGTCTGACTTGCTTATTTTTTTTCAACCCAACTTGTTTAATAAACGAGTTGAACCCAAGATCATCCATTAAATTTCCAAATAAATCTAAAAATCCAATAATCCTTCAAATAAAATTACATAAAATTTTAAAAACTTCAATAATTGTTCAACTTCAAACTTGAACTCAACGAAAGTCTTTGAGTTAAGAGGCGGAGGTTTCCATCATCACCTCTGCCATCAACGACCTAGCCCTTCACTATAACTAACAAAAAAGAAGCTTTACAATAAAGATGCTTTCGAGTAACAACTAATTATAATAATAATATTTCACGATAACTAAAATGCCTAAATATGAAACTGTCAATTAATCATTATTTTCACATGACCACAACCAAATGGAACCAAATCAACTTTACAAAAAAAAATGAAAATAATTAATGATAGCTTAAATGTCTAAAACATTAATTTAAAGCATCTTCAATCAACTAACATTTGTCACTTTATTCCGGTCAGCTTCAGATTTGATGGAACAATAAAACCTTTAGCTTGCAAACAAGAAATAACCTACCAACCAAAGTAATAAAATATTAGGAGTTAGGACCATTGATACACGATACTTAAAAGAAGTTAGCTTATCACAAGATATTAAAAGAAATTTTACCTTTGAACAATCAAACCCAATTTCAAGCTCCTTGACATGGCTAAGATTTAGTATAAATTCCTTAAACATCTCTTGTTCAGCTTCTTCAGGCATTGTAAAGCCATTCTTGCGTTTTGTAAAAAAACAATTTAAGTTCGCTTTCACTAAAGAAGTCACATTTACCAATAAAAACCTCGACAACAAAAGTTCACCTTCGATTGTTAGTGATAAAATATTAGGAGCATTCATTTCAATGATATCGGATTTAAATCCAGATAACACCAAGTTTTTAGCACTCTTTGAAGTAATATCAAGCCGCTTATAACCATAACAACTATGCAACACCAAACTTTCCAAAACAGGACTCCCACATAATATATTTTCAATCAAATCTTCATCTAAACTCCCACAATTATACACAAACTCTTAAGATTTTTCCAACTAATCGCCCCAATTGGATTAATCATGCACCCAACTAATTTCAAATCAGTTAAACATGAACTGGTGAAAAAATTTTGATCTAACATAAAATCATCTCCCCATTCAGTTTTCCACAAATCCAACATAAGCACTTCAACGTTGCATCTTATAGCATAATGAATCCAACTGTTGAGTTGTGATTGAAATTGAATATCAAAACTGGAACACACTTCGAATTTCTTGAGCTTCAATTGGGGGCATTGAGCTATTGATGAAATATTAGGTGCATTGATCTCATTTGAAGTATGACCATGGCAATATTTGAGCACCAAAGTTTCCAATAGAGGACTCCCTGATAATATATTTACCAACAAGCCTTCATCTAAATTGACATAGGAAAGACACAAACTCCTAAGATCTTTCCAACTAATCGCACCAGTTGGATTCAGTATACAGCATGATAATCTCAGATCAGTAAAACATGAATTGATGAAGAACACAGAATGATCTAACAGAAACATAGGTTCCGAATCCCATCCCTGAAACTCGAAGTTAAGCTCTTCAACGTTGCAACTTATAGCATATCGGATCCAATTCTTGTAAAGAGATTCAAATCGATTTTCAAAAAAGGTATGTACTTCAAATTTCTTGAGCTTCAATTGGCGACATTGAGCTAGGGTTTTGTCCACCGATAAAGCGCAATAGGACGATA